CAATTTAAGGCCTGCCAAAGAGAACAAAAGGTAGATTCCAAGAGCAGAGGATACATATGTTATCAAGACGCTTGAGTAAGTGGACGAGGGAAATACTGAGCAATGGTGAATCAGAGATGTGGGAGGGAGTCCAAAGAAAACTAAGCCTGAAGAGTAATCCTAGAGAGACTGGACTTATCTGGAAGGGCAGTAGGAGGGACTTGGGTCTGTGAGCTCCCGGTACACTTGCAGTGCTTGTGAAAGGAGGGAGTGATTGCGATATCCTCTCGAGAGGCAGACACTGGGGCAAGAAAGACAACCTCTTAGAATACCGTGAATGCTATGAGGGGATGGCGAGATTTCAATGTAAAAACACAGGATTAAGGGAGAGAGGAAGACATGCATCTCTGTCTGCTGGATCAATGCAAGTCAAACAAGCACCTCCGTCCCACACTTAAGAATAGGTACTTAAGTGTGGATGCTGGTGGTGGGAAATGTGCATTGGTGGAGTATGGGTTGTTCGATCATTGTATGACTGAAGCTCAATCATGAAAGTTTTGTAACAGTATCTCACAGTGATTCAATTAAAAAAAATGAAGTTAAATAAAAAAAATAGGAAATGAGAGCATGGCAGGTAGGACCTGTGTCCTGACCTGGGTTCGATCCCTGAGCACTACCAGGAGTGATTCCTAAGTGCAGCACCAGAAGTAACCCCAAAACAAAACAGGACTGGAGATGTGGACCATCAAGGACACCCACGTCCATTCCCACTTGGTGCATAAGCACTCAGAGCAAAGTCAGAATGCACAGCACAGAGAAAGCTTCCTGGGCCTCCCCTTGCAGTGCTGTGAAGGGAACATCTTCACATCTAAGGTCTTCTAGAAGTAGCTAAAGGGTTCACTCTCCAGAACTGTCAAAATTAACAATGATAAATACTTTTTGCATACCTCAAGGAACTTCGTAGAAGAACAAATTAAAGCCAAAGTCAGTAGATGAAGGGAAAAAAAATAAAAATTACAGTGGAAGTAAGGAAAATAGAAATGAAAAAAGATCATGTAAAAGATCAGTGAAATCACTACTCACAATGAGAAAGACAAATACAGGATGATCTCACTTATATATGGTATTCAAAGAAATACACCACAAGGAGAGAAATGTCAAAGACAAACTACTAGACTCTAACTCCCAAATTGAGCACACCAAGAGGCAGGGCAGTGTTGAAAGGTCCAGGGGACTATGGCTGAGGGATACTGTCACTTTGGTGGACGCAGGGTGGTGACATTATACCCCTAAAACATTTTAAAATGGAGGGCTTGACACATAGCACAGTGGCTAAGATGCTTGTCTTGTAGGTATATGGTCAAATGAGTTCAAATTCCATGTTGCCACATGTGCCAGGAATGTTCTTGGCACCCAAACCACTGTCACATGTTGTGACTAATAACCAAGAACCCAAGCACCACCGTCAGAAAGTGTGAGCCCTGGGAACTACAAACAGAGCACGACAGTGACCCCTCACCCTGTGAGCACTGCAGCTAGAGCCTGCATGCCTCAGCCAGAAGTGCATGCGGGCAAGCAGAAATGCATGCACCACAGCCAGAGGAGCACAAACCCAAGAGCCTGCAGCCTAACACTCAATCTGCTAGGAGCACCCCAGCAGAGTGAGTAATTTATCCTGACATATGATGCCCCATCAGCACCACAGCAGACTATGTGAGCCCTGCACCCTGCCCGCGACCCCTGTCAGCATCACAGTGAGAACTGCGAGTGCCACAATAAGGCTGCATGTGGACCCCACATGGCAGATCAACAGCAACAAGGGGGAAGGTCAGGGGAGGGAATAAGAGTGTGTTTATAGAACCTCGGTGCCTGAGAACAGATGACTGGATAAAGAAACTCTGGCACATCTACACCATGGAATACTATGCAGCTGTTAGGAAAAATGAAGCACGGAATTTTCTTGTAAATGGATGGACATGGAGAGTATCATGCTGAGTGAAAAGAGTCAGAAGGAGAGGGACTGACATAGAATGACTTCACTCATTTGTGGAATTAAAAAAAAAACAGTATGAGACTAACACCTGAGGACAGTAGAAACAAGGGCCAGGAGGACAGGTCATGGTTGCAAGTTGGTTTCAAGTGCTGGGGAGAAGGCAGTTTGGATAAAAAAGGAACCACTATGACAAAGACAGTTGGAAGTGATCACTCTGAATAAGAACTGAATAACAACTGCTGAAAGTAAGTAAAGGAACAAGCATGATGACCTCTCAGTATCTGTACGGCAAACCATAGTGCCCAAAGGAGAGAAAAAAGGAAAGTGCTTGCCATAGAGAGAGGCTGGGCGTGGTTTGAGGGAAACTGGGGATACTAGTAGTGGGAAATATGCACTGGTGAAGGAATGGGTGTTGGAGCATTGCATGACTGAAACACAGTCATGAACAATTTTGTAACTATCTCATGATGATTCAATTAAAATAAAAATTATTTAACACACATACACACACACACACGTTTGAGGCCACATCCAATGGTGCTCCAGGCTTACGATTGGTTCCATGCCCAGGGATCACTCCTGGTTTGCGCAGGGGACCATATGGAGTGTCAGGGATCAAACCCAGGTAGGCCACAGGCAAGACAGGCACCATACCTGCTGCACTATGTCTCCTGCCTTCTCTAAAACAAAGACAAGTGTGCCAGGGGTTGGAGTGAGCTCGATGGATTGAGTGCATGCTGTGCATGCAGGCCAAAGCTTCACGGTTCCCTGAGCAATACCACCAGCAACTCGAGTACAGAGCCTGTGGTAACTGAGTATCTCCAGGTGTGGGACAAAAACTAGGGGGAGAAAGAGAGAGAAAAAGTGAGAAAGAGAGAGGAGAGAGAGAGAAGAGGGGGGAGAGAGAGAAGAGAGAAAGGGAGAAGAGAGGAGGGGGAGAGAGGAGGAGGAGAGAGAAGAGGAGGGAGAAAGAGGAGAGAGAAGACAGGGAGAGAGAAAGAAAGAGAAGGGAGGAGAGAAAGAGAAGGAGGGGGAGAGAGAGAAAGAGGAGAGAGAAGACAGGGGAGAGAGAGAAGACAGGGGAGAGTGAGAGGGGGGAGAGAGAAGAGAAGGGAGAGGGGGTGAGAGAAAGAGATGGAGAGGGAGAAAGAGGACAGACAAGAGAGAAAGAGAAAAGGGGAGGGAGAGAGAGAGAGAGAGAGAGATCGTGAGAAGAGAGAGCGCAGTATACCCAAACTGCTCTAGAATCAGAACTATTAATGATTTAGTGACAGGCTGTCCAAGGCAGGTCAATGGGCCATAGGGGCAAAGGCCGGCCTCTCGAAGTGGGGACACCAGTGCTGACCTCTGCCCGGTCAGTTCCATTCACAGCTCTGGACACTCAGCATGTGCACCTGAATGAGGTCCACACTAAGCTGCTCTGTGGGCCTGGCTCCCAACTGAGGAATCACACTGCAAAGACTCCTGCCGGTGCCTTGGCTTGAGGGAGCATCCAGGACGTGCCTCGGCAGCAGGCAGGAATGAGGCCTTGGTCACTCGTCCCTCTCACCCACACACAGCACAGGGAGTCACCAGTACTTCCCGACACTGTCAGGTCCTATGGGTGTACAATGGCTACATACACGGCCAGGATCCTGCTCTTCAGAGGTAAAATCTTGCAGGGCTGGAGAGAGAGTACTGGGACAGAGGCACTTGCCCTGTGCACAGCTGACCCCAATCCAACCTCCAGGAAGGCCTATGGCTTCCAAGATTTCCAGGAGTGACCCTTGAGTACAGAGCCAGAGGTGAACCCCGAGTACCACCAGGTGTGCCCAAACCCTCCACCCTCCAATTTTTTTTTTAAGTAGCAGTATCTAAGTACTATTCAAATTATCATCCTATTTAATGTTACACTCGGCACAAGGGAAATAAGTGATGGTGCTCCAAGAATCTATAACAGGAGCTTTCTCCTAAATCAGTCAAGGAGGGCTTCCTGAGGAAGTGGCAGGGGCGCTAACATGTGAAGGACGAACAGGGTTAACTCTGTGGGAAAGGGAAGGAGACATCTGGCCACTGATAAGAACAATAAACCTGACTGAGGGTGAGGGTAGGTGGAGAGAGAGCACAGAGGGTCTGGCTCTTGAAACTTCCCACTGGTTTCGGGGTCAAGACCAAACGACCCCATGGCCACTCCTGTCCCTGGCCACTCTGTGCTCTGTGTATCCACCACATCCACTGTCCCTCTCACTCCCCTTACAGCCACACTTGCATTCCATAGGGCCAGTTTTGTTTGGTTTTGGGCCATACCTGGTGATGCTCAGAGGTTGCTCCTGGTTTGCAATCCGGAATCACTCCTGGCGGTGCTCAGGAGACCAGAAGGGATGCTCGGGATTGAATCCAGACCAGCTGCATATAAGGCAGGTGCCTTATCGCTCCAGGTGGGGCTATTTTTTTGAGGGGGGCTGCACAGTTGGCTGTGCTCTGAGCTTTCTCCTGGCTCTTGCACACAAGAATCATTCCTGGTGGGACTTGCAGAACTATATGGGGTTCCATACTTGAATTTCAAAGATCTTTCTTGTTTTGTTGTGCTTGTTTCTGCTTTTGGGCTACACCTAGCTGTCTCTGGCTCAGTCATCAGGGCTCACACGCTCAAGGGACCATATAGGGAGCTGGCGATCAAACCTGGGCTGGCTGTATGCAAGGCAAGTGCCTTCTCCACTGTGCTGCCTCTCCAGCCCCTCAAATCTCTTCCTGGCTTTGCGGTGGGTGCCAGAGTGTGGCGGTGGCAGGAGGAAGGGACCAAGAAGAGGAGGCAAACTCGCTCACACATAAGGCACAGGAGCTTCTGCCTCTGCCCACAGGGGGTCATGGTTTTGGAGAAAAGGCGAGGGCCACTGCCAATGAATGTAGAGGAGCTCTTGGGAACTGAGCTGGCTTCGGGAGCACCTGCCTCCGAATCACCTCGGGGGCCCAGGAACTCTGTCCAAGGGATGCTGCAGGGGTGTCTGTGAGGGCAAGGCGTGGGCTGGAAAGAGACAGCAGCCATTACCTGGTCATCCAGGGGGATCCCGCTGCTCATCTTCACTCGATTTCCCTCCGGGTGATAGTCATCTGCATCATAGAATTTCCACCCGAGCTTGGAAACAAAGGAAAGGAGTATGTAGCGGGCAGGGCGTCTCAGGAGACTGCCGCCATGAGGGCCCACACAGCAGCTCCGTGCTTCCCCCCAGTTGCAGGGGAGCATCCCCTGCCTCCCCCCCACACCCACCCACAGGAAAGAAAAGGGGTTTGAAGCTCAGCAGTGTGCTGTGGGGCTCACCCATCATTATCTGTAATCACCCGATGGGAAACCAAACTGCAGCAGTGAGTGGCACTCTGTACTTGTTCGTGCTTACACATCAGCCTGCCTTCGGGTCGGGGAAGGGAGAGAACAGTAGGAGACCAGTAGGGTGTGAGACTGAGGGACAGAAAGGCGGGTTACCTCGGATGCCAGCAGGGCGCCCACGCTCGATCTGTGGAGAGGATGCAGATGTTCAAATGACCACGCCCTCCCAACCAGCCCATCTGAGGGTGCCCCCCAGAACTCAGATCAAAGTATACTGATGACAATCTGCAAGTGGTTGTGATGCCTTGTTGGTTTTGGGTTTGGGGTGATCCCCGGAGGTGCTCTAAGGTCACTCCAGGCTCTGTGTTCAGGGGCCGCTCCCAGTACATGCTTGGGAAACCATGGGGTTCAGGAGCCTGACCCTGGGTTTCCGGCATGCAAGGCATGTACTTCAGTCCACTGCATTATTGCTCCTACCCCAAAAGTGATGCTCTTGATCATGGAATCTAGAGTATGGTTTTCGTTTTCTCCAGGAATTTAAAGAAAGACACCATTACCCACGTGCCGCTAACCTCTCCCCCGAAACATACCATCCAATCTCATTAAACTCCTTAAGTGTTTTGGCCCCTGCTTCATAGATGCCTCCCAAGTGGTGCTCAGAAGACCTGAGAGCCCTTCTGGTGGTTCTTGGCCCACATGGCCAGGGGTCTTGTGCAAAAGCTAGAGACTGTGGTACTGCTCAGCCCTGCCATGCTTGGCCTCACCCAGGCCACAGAGGTGCTCAGAAACCTCCAGGGCTGCACCAGATGGTGCACAGGAGACCACGAGGCACTGCAGGCACAGAGTGCTGGGCATGCACCCTGACTACTGTCCCAGCTCCAGCCCCTAGGTGTTTATTTTCTAAGGGAAAAAAAAATACTGAATTCATGAAGTGCTCAAAACTCTCCTGAGGATGCTAGGAGGGATGTGAAGGGGATTAACCTCCTCTAACTCCTACAAGGTGCAAAGCACAGCACTGCCTCAGGGCTCAGGGCGACATGCTTGAGCAGAGAGACAGGACAACAGGGAAGGCCCTGCAGGTTCAACCCCCAGCAACCCATCTGGTTCCTGCCAGGAATGATCCCTGAGCACAGAGCCAGGAGTAAGCTCTAGGCACAGTTGTGGGGGGGGCCTCCCAAAACAAAAATGAAGAAATAAATAGATGAGACGCACTCTTAATGGACACAAGAGACAGGCCAGCCCTTCGGACTGGATGTCCAGGGCTCTCTGCTCCGAGTATCTGATAAGGATCTGTTCCCCCTAAAAGGCAGTGCAGGCTGTGGGAAGGCCTCGGGGCTCTGAATCTGAGGTCTGGCAGGTTCTCTATTGTCATTACATGACTAAGCTCCTGTGCAAGGTGAAACTATTTTCCCACCTGCAAAATGAGAGAACTGAGCCACAGTACCCATTCCCCATCTGCTCATTTCATTTAGCCAGCACTGACTGAGCGACCAGCTGGCCGCTAGAGGCTTGGTCTGTGCCATGGAAGATGGGCAGAGAAGGCAGCCAATGAGAAATGAAATCCTTTCTGGCTTTCAATTTCTAAGGTGTTGCACAAATACCATTTACCACCATCGCAATTTATAAATCAGCTTACTATTTACCAGACCTGATTTCCCAATTTTTATATACCAATTCCACAATTTTTAAAAATTGTGTTAAAGATAACATGGTTACAATTATACTTTTGGTGTATAAAGTTATTGTACCGCCAGTACCAAAATCTCTCCACCACTGCCCTTATGTCGCTTCTAGTCTCTCTTTTCCCTCATTCCTTCCATCTGGTGACCTCAACTTTGTAATCAAAGTCCAATTGTTGGTAAACATTTACCAGTTCCAAAGGGTTTACTTGTTTCTCGGGGTCCACACGTGAGAGTGATCAGGACTTACTCCTGGCTCTACATTCTGGTATTACTTCCGGTGGGGCTCAGGGGACCATATGAGGTGCCAGGAATGGAACCCGTGTCAGCCACGTGCAAGGCAAACACCCTTACCCACTGTGCTACTGCTCTAGCCCCTACTTGATATTTTTATATGATTGCTTCACTTTCTGAAATTAAGTATATTTAAAAAAAAAAGTTTGGGGGGGGTCACAGAGGTAATACCTCCGCAGACTTCTGACTTGGAAAATCAATCCCCCATTTGACAAATTTATTTGAAACAGACTCAGTCCCACTCTGAGCTCCAGATATTTTCCTTCCACGTGTCTCCTGCTTCTCCATGTCAGCCTATAACAGAGGCTCCCGAATTTCTTTGTCCAGAAAAATTATTACTCCAGGCTGGAGAGGTAGTCCATGAGTTTTGAGGCTTGCCTTGTTCGTGGCTGATCCCAGCTGAATTCCTGCCATATGGTCCCCTGTGCACTACCAAAAGAGGCCCTCAAGGAGTGCTTGGTATGACCCCAAACCAAACATAACATTACTCAACAACCCCTAATTTCATCAGAGGCTAATACTGCCCTTCTGGATTCTTCCAGAAATCCTGGAGCAACATCTTCTTCTTTGGGAAACACTAGTCTACTTCTCCCTTCTCCAAGCTGCCCAGGTGCAAGTCTTAAAACCCCTCTTTACTTCTCATTCATAGTCCATCCACAACACTCTTATTTATATTCCATAACCGAATCTCTAACTTCAGGCCACCCATCTTGCCCTGCTGGGGTTCCCTGATAATCCATAAGGCGGTCAGGCCTCTGGGCCTTGACATGGTCTAGTCCCTCTGCCATAACGCTTTCCCACTGTTCTCCAGGCTTGTCCCCTCCTCTCTCCTAACTCCCACATTTCTTCAGAGGGTCATTCCTTGACCCTCCTGCCTGGTGCTCTGCCCACTTCCTCCCCAGTCTCTCACCTGGAGGTGGCCACCACCGACACTTTTGGTTGATGTGTATGTATTCACTGCCATCCCCCATAGTGGCATATAAACTCCCTGAAGGTAGGGATTTTTGTCCCATTATCAGTGACAACCATGAATGACTGAGTCCAATATTTTTCTGAATGCATGAAACTAACCATCTGAATTGTATAGGATATCTTCCCTCTCGCCTGATGGAAATGTGACTAACTGCCCAAGCTAGCTCAGCAGGCCATGGTGGAACCAAGTCCTGCGGTTACTAAGTCCCTTACACCAAGCACAGGAGCAGTTTTACACTTTTTTTTCTTTTTGGGTCACACCCGGCGATGCACAGGGGTTACTCCTGGCTCATGCACTTAGGAATCACTCTTGGCAGTGCTCCGGGGACCATATGGGATGCTCGGAATCGAACCTGGGTCCGCCGCGTGCAAGGCAAACCCCCGACCCGCTGTGCTATCGCTCCAGCCCCAGGACACCACTTTTAAAGCAGACTGCTAGGAAACTGCAGGTGCTGAGTTTTAATTTCATCCCAGATTCCCTGTCTTTGAGGGTAAACATGCCCCCCCCCCCATTCTTCTAAAGATATATCTATTTACCCGATGCAAGCTTTTTAAATGGGTACAACCCACATGGGTGGTTCCTGACTAAGGAGAGTCTAGAGCATCTGAAGGTCAAGCTACTTTAGCACAGTGGGCAGGGTGCTGGTCTTGCACGCGGCCGGTCTGTGCTCGACCTCCAGTGCCCCATAAAGTTCCCTGAGCACCACCAAGAGTGATGCCTGAGCTCGGGCCAGGAGGAAGCCCCACCCCCCGGATAGTTTAGTTCCGGATTTTTTTTTCTTTTTTGCTTCAGTAACTGTTTCACCAGAAACTCCCAGTAACTGGGTAGAGTTAATAGTTGGCTCGTTATCAGGGAACAAAGGTCTCGGTGCGGGCAATCAAGATTGTGAGATGCTTTATGCTGCCTGTCACATAGCCTCCCAACTAAAAAAAAGAAAATACGGTTCAAGTGAACACGACCACTGTCGTTTACACCGGTAACTCGTCATTTAAGGACGGGAAAAAAAAACAACGGAAGGTCAAGTTCACTTCTCGAGACCGGGAGGTGCAAGCGCTCGCCGGGACTGACTGGCGCAGGTGCAGGAGGAGGTGCGGGCGGCGCGCAGGGGCCCCGAAGCGGGGATGCCGGGACCCCCGAGCTGCCGCTGCTGTGGCCCGCCCGGACTGGCCCGCGCCGCCCGCCCGCGCCGGGAACGCGCTCCGGCCGCTCCGGGCTCGCGTCGCCCCGCTCCCGTCCCCGCGAAGGGGAAGGGGACTCCCCAGGGGCCCCGCGTCCCCGCGGCCTGTCCTCCTCCCGTGTGCCCGCCGCCCGCCTCCCGGACGTACTTCCCGGAGCCGCTCACGCCCATCACCAGCAGCGCGCTCGGGGTCGTCATGTCGCCCGGCTCGCTCCAGCCGCCTGCTTCCGGCCCGCCGCCCCGCCTCCCGCTCGCCCCGCCTCCCGCTCGCCCCGCCCCTCCGCCCCGCCCCTCCGCCCCGCCTCATGCCCTCTGGCTCCGCCCCTCGCCCTGCTCACCCCGCCCCTCGCCTCCCACTCGCCCGACCTCGCCTCTCCCATCCCCAGGCTTCCTGTCCCCTTATAGCTGAATATGAAAATTTTTTTTCTTTTTTTTTTCTTTTTGGGTCACACCCAGCATTGCACTGGGTTTATTCCTGGCTCATGCACTCAGGAATCACTCCTGGCGGTGCTTGGGGGACCATATGGGATGCTGGGAATCGAACCCAGGTCGGCCACTTGCAAGGCAAACACCCTACCCGCTGTGCTATCGCTCCAGCCCCTGGATATGAATATTTATGAAGTGTGCTCATGATATCGTGTTTTTTAAATGTAACCAAGCGTTTTGCCTCTAGGTGGGCATCCCAGTTGATATCCAGCATGTACTGTGAGAAATATCCCACCTGTCTAAAATGCATAGATTTAGAGCCTCAAAGACAGGGGGAAAAGGAGGCTTTAATAGCAACTATTGATTTTTTCCAATTTGTTTTTTTTATTTTATTTTTAAAAAGTTGTAGTTGACTACAGTTAATATTCAAACACCAATCCCAACATTGTGCACCTTCCCACCACCATAAGAGGAAAGTTTGTGAAGATTGCTATATTTCATCCTGAAGCCATTTAAGTAAGTCCTTGTATAAGAGATTGCAAGCAGTTATACCGAAACAAATGTGTGCTACTTTTTGGTACATCAGTGGGCTAGAGCATAAGAGGTCGTGCAGCCCTGAATTCGGCCTCATGCTCCAGGTTGTTCTATGTCACACTCTTCCATGAGCTTTATTTTATAGTCTCTGGGTTTTGACCGTTGATGAGATTATATGGCACCAGAGGCAGTTTGTTGTGTGACTACCAAGACACTGGAAAACTGGGGAGTTGAGGGGAGGAGGCCCGGACCTGTTCCGAGCAGGCTTGGAGATATCAGTCACGGGTCCTGAATACCTGGATTTTTCTGCAGGTTCCCTCATAGGTGAGGCTCATCCGAACCTGTGCAGAGCGGCCGTGAGCATGGATATGGTTGGATTCAGGAGGTTTCTGACTGCCTGGACTCTGCAGGGGTGGGGAGGGAAACTCAGCCTGTCCCCCTCCGAGTGGCCAGGGTGAAGACAGCCTGGAGCAGGGTCAGGACGTTCTATGTTGCACTCTCCTGAGAGCTTTATTTCAGAGTCTGTGGATCTTGGCCATTGATGAGATTATATGGTGCCTAGAGTAGTTTGTCAACCATTGATTATGGTCTTTCAAGATTGGGTGGTTGCCAAGTAGGCAAACTCGGCACACATGGGCAGGGGTTCTGACGGAATGCTAGTTCCTGGTCCTTTCTCTCATTTATTAGATACTATCAGGCCCATGTTCTAGGCCCAACCATGTTTCACTACATATCGGTAGAGCATGAGACTCTTACCAAATTTATAAAATTTGTAATTTACAAGTTATAGTTCCTCCTTTTTAGGCTTCAGGGCTAAAGACTGCATTTTAAAACCAAACTAAATTTCCTCTAACAATAATCTTTAACGGCAGGATTTTCAATCAGTATCTAGTGTCAGCACCAGAGGTCTAGTTTCTATTGCCCTAAATATGCTTCCCTATTCCTCTTACATGTACTGTGACTGTTTGGTATCCCTGAAGGGGAAGGGACATACCTTTAATATACCCATTTGCTAGAAAACAGAACCGTAAGTCACGGTCACGGTCACGGTCCTCCCATTGTTCATTGATTTTCTCGAGAGGGCCCAGTAACGTCTCCATTGTGAGACTTGTTACTGTGATTGGCATATCGAATACATCAGGAGGAGCATGCCAGGCTTTGCCGTGCGGGCGAGATATTCAGTAGCTTGCTGGGCTGTGAATTAATATAGTTGAAGCCCCGCTTCTTATCCCTGAGGGGAGATAGCCTGGCATGCTCCAAGCTTTGCCTTTGATTTCCTAGGTCTTCTGATTTTCTCCTCAACACAGTCCATTAAGAATTGCTAGGCTGAGGATGGGAAATAGCCCTACAACTAAGTAGAGTGAAGAAATAACACTTTCAACCTCCTGTGTTACCCAAATTTATTTTCCTGTCTATCCTGGGAAACAAGAAGGCTAACCCAGGGTCTTTAATGAACATTTAGGTTACCACTGCAGTGACTTTGTTTTTTCCCAATATGGTGGCAAGACTTTAGCTTTCCTCTGTCAGGTACTGACAAAGAAGTCACGGCTGGCAGCTAAGGTCACTTGGCTAAAGTTACAGGTCAGTTATGGCCAGACCTGGGTAGAGGTAACTTCTACAGAGACCTCTGTAGTCAGTGTGTGTAGAAGCCCTGCACCATATCTCATATCTCCACGCCAGCCTCCTGCTGAGACGAGATGTAAGAAAGACCAGGTCAAACAGTCATCAGACCAAAATATCTTTTTAAAAAAATTTTTTTATTTCATTAAAGAACCGTGATTTACAAAGTTATTGAAACGTCTAATGTTCTAGCATCAATTTCCCATCACCAGTGACCCCAAGTTCCCTCCCACCCCCACAAGCTGCTACCTTACAGGCACATCAGAATGTTTGGTTGTTGTCATTTGTGTCTCATGCTTTTAGTGTTGTTGACTCTGTTTTGTGTCTGTACCTACCCACCCCTCCACATTACTGATGTATCTCAGGCCCTTGACCCCTGCTTGCCCATTACTTTCTGTCTTCGTCTTCTTTATCTCTTTCCTCCCACCCCCACCGCTATTTCTTTCCTTCTCTGTTCTCTTCCGTACTGTACAGTCAAGGGCAATCTAGACATCCACTCTTTGCCATATTTCATTCCTTCTTCTTCCAGTTAATTTATATATCACAGATAAGTGAGATTATCCTATGATTGTTTTTCTTTTTTCTGGCTTACTTCACTCACATGATATAATCCGGTTCCATTGAGGTTGCAGCAAATTGAATTATTGCTTCATTCTTTACAGCTGCACAATATTCCATTGTGTATAGTGTTCCATTGTGTATATGTACCACATCTTCATAATACATTCATTTTTATTGGATGCCTAAGTTGATTCCATATTATAGCTATTTGTTTTAAGTGCTGCAATGAATAATGGTGTGATGATGTCATCTTAGATGAATGTTTGTGTGTCCTGAGGGTAGATTCCCAAAAGTGAAATAGCTGGGTCATATGGCAGCTCAATTTACTGAGAACTCTTCATACTTTCCACATTGGTTGAACATTCCTACCACCAGTGGATGAGAGTTCCTTTTTCACCTAACCAAAATAAGAAATTTATAATAAGAGATTGTAATCTCTTGATTTGCATTAACTTTTATATGTTAAATGGCTCCTGTGTAAGGTATCTTTTCAAAATTCAAAATGCATTTATTATTTCTTACTCAGTGAGGATGTTGGAAATTACCATAGGGCAGTTAAAAACTCATACTTTGTCTCCTTTTAACTATTATTTCAATGTAAGTTTTTCCTTCCTTGAGAATGGTCCACTGCAGAGTATATAAACCCCAATTTGCTCTCAGGGATGGGGTCCCCATCAGTGAAGCAGAATTCTGTTAGCATCTTTCTCTTCCACAGCCCTGAACTTTCACTCTGTAAAATAGTTTTCTTCTTATTCATGAATCAGTGGTATTTTATGTTATTTAAAACATGTCTTGACTGAAAAGATGGCAGGATAAAGAAGCTGTGGTACATACACACATAGAATACTACTCTACTGTAAAAAATGATAAATCATACGATTAGCTGCTACCTGGCAGGATCTGGAGAATATCATGCTGAGTGAAATTAGGAGAGATGTTGGATTGGTTTGTCCTTCCTCCCTTGCCTCGGGGAGTTTAGGTTATTGAGTTACCCTCATCACACAGCCCCAGAGGCACTCCCATTCCTCTTTATCTATCTTTTACTTCTCCTTTGTGTTCTGCTTCCCCTCTCTGTTAATCACTATATCCCCAAATCAGACCCTGTGATTTGTAAAGTCAGATTCTTCTCAGGACTCTGGATTTTGTATGTGCAAGTGAAATATTTGCTTTTTTTCTTTCCATTATGTCCTTTGCATAGTTTACTCTAGAGCAGTGTCCTTTTTGTATAGACACAGGAAGATAATTAATGCTGTGCTTCTGGGAGTTAATTGACTCGGAACAATATTTATTCCAGGTCATCTGTCATATTTACTCAACTTAAGCCTCAGTTGTCCTTAGTTTCTAGCACCCCAAAAGGAGGGTTCCAGTGAGGGTCTTGGATGGACTCAGGGCAAGCCGTAAGCTACCCAAGCATTGAAAAGGGACAAGCCATAAGCTATCCTGGGATCTAAAAGGGAGAGGACAACCACCATAAAATATAGTAAGTTAAGAGTATGGTCATGGACAAATTTTGTCATGACCCAAAAAGAAGGATCTGAATAAGGACCCTGCTAAGGTTAGTAAGACTAACTTGGGCTGAGGACTGTAGTCTGGGATATAAGAGAGATGTCTCCAGGAGAGCCACCCCATCCTTTAAACTTAATATATCTTACAGTGTCAAGTTTCTCTCTATTTCAACTCAGAAATATTTAATTACTCGAATTATAGGATGTAAGTTGATCAAAAATAAACTTCTGTATAAAACAAAATAGGAATAGGAAGAACCATCCCTTTGATCAACATAGCAATTTTCCAATAATACAAACCTTAATAGTGATAGCAGAGTGGTTAAGGCGTTTGCCTTGCATGCGGCCGACATGGCTGACCCGAGTTCTATTCCCCGCCCCTCTTGGAGAGCCGGGAAAACTACTGAGAGTATCTTGCCTGCATGGCAAAGCCTGGCAAGCTACCCATGATGTATTCAATATACCAAAAAAAGCAACAACACGTCTCCCAATTTGTTGTGAGACATTACTGGTACCCACTTGAGCAAACAGATGAACAACAGGAGTACAGTGCTACAGTGCTACAGTGTTCATACAAAATGACTA